AGATTTTGTTTGATTGCTCTTGGTCTTCAGCATATTGGACCAATCACATGCATAACATTGTTTCTGATTTAACTAATATGATTGAGCAGCTCTCCTAGTTATGACGCCCACTGTGTGAGAATTCGGCCACATAGGGTAACTTTTATGCATAATAAAATCAGAAGCTGGCTAGCAGTGGCAGGACAAAGTTCTTTAGAACCCACTGTGAAAAGGCCAAAGTGCTCCACTTGAACCATTTTTTCTAGTTCCCAGCATACATATTTCCCTTCAGATATCCTTCCCTACTACCAATTCCCATGATATAGCCTTTGTGAAGATGCATACATGTACCCACATTTTGCATTTTCTTGTATTTGCAGTAGGATCAAAGGACAGGCTGGTAGCTAGTTGGTAGAGATTGGACTTCCTGGGCACAGCCAGCAGCAAAAAGAGGAAGTAAGCATACCTCTTGTGCAATCTTCCAGCCCAACTGGCCGCCATTAGCGTTTAGATGGGTTAAGCTTCCAAAAATTCAGAGATCCAGATCAGGTGTTCAGTGCATTTAGACTGCTCATAGGCAGCTTAATATATCATAAAAGGTTCATGATGTGGAGCATCGGTGCAATCAGCTGGTTGTTTCTCTATAGCAAGAGGGAAGGGAATCTGCTACTGACTATGAGCTAAGCAGTGAATTGCCTCAGCAACATAAGCTAAAGGTCCTGACCTTTTTGCACCACCCTTCTGCTGAAAATTCCAAGATTGTTGCCTATTCTGCGTACTCCTTGGCCGGGCTCTCCTGGTTAGATGTGCAAGTACAAACCAATTCAGCATTGGCCTTAAACATGTAAAGTGGGCTTCAGCTTAAGCATTCCGGCTTGGGGAAGGAAAGAGACACACGACAGACAGTATGACTCTGGGCTTATCATGCTTGAAACAATAGTGAACAGACAAGAACCTCTTCCCCATGATCAATCAGTTTGGATTGCCTGAATCTGGTCTACATACATCAGGTTGTCTCCTAATGCAGCCAGTTTGATTGGGATTGATCTCATGTTTATAAAAATTCTAAATAATTTAGGCGCCTAGCCAAGTGTGTCTGCAGTAATGTAAATTAAAGATGAACTCCAGGCCAAACTTTTTTTTATTTGTTTGGTATGGTGGAGCACAGTAAGAACTTCTCTTGAGTTTCTATTGATGTGTCCATGTTCACGAGTAACCCCTTCCTGTGTGGTCACTGAGACAGGAACTGGGAAGAAGTTTCTCCACAAGGTCACTGCAATAAAAACCTGACAGTGATTTATTTTGTCTGGAACTCCATGTTAAGTTTCAGGGACTCTGTTGCATTAATAAAAGTAAATCCTGAAACATTTATGATCCTACAATGTTGGTGATTATTGAGGTAATATGTTAAAGTCACAATTATTGTCCAGGGTGCTGGTAGTTTCCTAGTTTCTTGGATTGTTTGATGGTGCCACTTCATGGTGGCCATGAATATACTGATCATCTATCTAAGCTTTAATCTATGTGAAACTTTAAATTTAAAGGAGAACGACATGCTAATGAAAAAGTTACATGGTATTGAAACCAATAAAGCTGGCAATAAACACATAGCTAGATGTGCCTTCTTAATCCATCTGTCAAACAATTTTAGAGGGTGTGGACTGGCTTTGGGGGTGCAGGTTGTCTGCTTCATGCAGGTTTTGCATTCCCATAGACTTGTTTGGGAATGTAAAACCCTTCTGATGCAAATATAAGCCCATTGACACAGGTGCATATATTTTCTTTTGATCTGTGCATAGACATACATACTCATATCAAAGAGTCAAGCATGATTATGTAGTTAACAGATATTTGCAGCTCCAGCCTTACCTTGCAAAGGACATTCAAGTCTGTTTAGTGATTCTGGTGATCCAGGCACACTCGCCAAACAACACAGTCAGATCCTCAACCGTCACTGCAATAGCAGCTTGGTCAAAATCTCTGAAAACATACACTTTTTTTTAACACACTGGTGAGGTCATGCCTATGCCTGTTCTCCTGTTAGCACATATGCAATGCTGCAGAGGCTGATTGGCTACAAGTGCTGTCTCTCCCTGGTGCGGTACAGAGGTCTATAGGAGGTTGATAAAAAGACAAATTCAAATTTTGCATTCATTGCACTTAAAATACAGAGTGGTACAGAAAACTCTGTAATTTTTCAGGCTTAGGCCTAAGCTACATAATGTAGCAATTCAATCATGGTACTAAAATGTACTGCAATTAATTGCTATGGGTAATGATCAATCACTGATGGGCCAAATGGCTCTCAATTTGCATTTTGTGAGCTATACAGTAATAGCATGTTGTAGTGATTAATCCCATATTATTGCACAGTGCTTCAACTGCGTGTCATTAGTTCTTACTACATGCTATTGTGTAGCTTTCACCATAGGGAAGCATTTGTTCCATTAGTGAGCAGCCAGGCGATACCTTTAAAACGTAATTGTCAGTGCAATTCAGCTAATAAAAATTGCCTGTGTAGCTGAGGCTGGGTCTCCACTGGTGATTAAATCTCTTCACTTCTGAGAATTAGGCTGGTCATACATCTATAGATTATCTGCAGATTTTCTGTGGTCAGATGGAAAAAGTGCAACAGATTCCTCCATCTACGCTAAATTGTGTGGATGGAGTAGTCTCCCACTGAGCCAAGCTTCAGTATCTTGCTAGTCGGCCCCGATGGCTCTCAAATACCTGAACAATCTGATTGGATGCAGGCATTGTTCAGGTGTTTTGAGAGCCAGCGGAGCCGACTAGCAAGATACTGAAGCTTGGCTCAGTGGGAGACTACTCCATCCACACAATTTAGCGTAGATGGAGGAATCTGTTGCACTTTTTCTATATGACCATAGAAAATCTTCAGATAATATATAGGTGTATGGCTAGCTTTAGACTTGTTGACAGTCATCTCCCCAAAATCAATATGCTGCTAATGAGATAATTGGCAACGAGTAATTCGTTCTCTCAGTAGCAAAGGAATCTAATCCACATTGTAGTACTAGTCCTAAGGGTGGCCACAAACAGCTCAATTCTGCCATTGATTTGTGGTCCATTGCAACCATTTGGGGTCATCGTAGAAAGTGATAACACAAGCTTCCAACTGCTTTGTATTGGTCAGAGAGATTTTCCAACTTACCAATAAGAAGAAAGGACATCATTCCATGCTCTCTACTATCCACATGGTCCTTGCAGACAGAAGCATAGTGTCAGCAAAACGTTTTCTTGTTTTTTATCATTTATAATGTGATTATATTACATATCCATTTCAGATACCCAAAAATCTTAACAGAGTTCTTTAGCTTTGCTCCTTGCTCCATGACCCAAATACACACATTAGCAACATAGGAAAATTCCAAGTTTTTTATTTTCCAACCATAATTTATTTACAAATACACTTTATAACTTTTATATACATTGCACATTTACATGGTAAAAAAGTACAAAACTATATATTTAAATGAATTTATATTTAACTTGCCATGTTTTTTTTTTTTTCTGAAAATATAAAATTGAATCAGAAACAAAGAGGTGTACTAGCAAGAAAAGCAAGAAACTTGGACCGATAAAGCTCTGATATGGTTAAAAATAAAAGAAAAGAAAGAAAAGTGATACTTTCGCACTGGTGTGTGGAAGAATGAAATAATGTGGGTAAAAGGGGATAGTCCGCCTTCCCATTAGCAGTCAAAAAATCCTTTTTGGGGTAACTAACTGAATACACAGATGAAGGTATCAATACAGAACTACAAAAATAGACATTAAAGGGCACCCATCTCAGTTTTCAGAGCTATTTTGTCAGCTTAACCAACATTTGAGTATGTATCCACTGATTCCTTAGGAATAATGACAAACACTGACATCACTATATCTAGGGAATACATAGGCTGAATTTTGGGCAAGCCAACAAAAAAAGCTCTGTCTATCTAGACAACTTGTTCTCAACCAGTGGTACTTGTACCCCAGGAGGTTCTTCTGATACTTTAGCTTCTTATATTAAATTTACCACAACAATTTAGAGTTTTAGCAAATAATACGTCATATAAAATGGTTATCAGTGAGTATTTGAGTTGTAAAAGACAAATGGCTTTGACAATAGCTAAAGGGGTACATACTTTTATAAACTTTAGAAACACTGGATTTCACAAGAAATAGATCAGTCCACTTAAATCAAAGGATTTCAGTTTTGGGTAAATGCTGATTGGCTGAATCAACCCTCTCTGCAGTCCATTCCCAGGATAGCCAAACCAATCGGCCCATTACAAAAAGAGTCTCACTCCACCCTTTTGGAATATACTATTATTTTAAATTATGAAGAAATATCCAGATCACGAAGGACTGCTCTTGCTGCAAAGGGAGCTTAAGAGTCAGGGACTTCTGCAGAGACTTTTTTTTTATCCCTGGAGCCTCCCAGAGATAGAAAATTCAATGGGTGATTCATCACCCAAGCATCTGCCCGTAACCGAAAACCTCAGCTTTGTGTGGACTTACCCTTTTAAAAGACAACCTTCCCCTATTACCCACTACTGATATATTTATTGCAGCCTCATTTGGTCAGTCAAGGTCCTTGTAAACAAAACCCAAAGAATGTATGTACAGGAGTACAGATAAAAACCCAATAAATAAAACGTAGCAGAACTGACATGCAAATGTGATCAAGAAAGAAAACTGAGAAAACAGCATTCAGCCCAGCTCTCCAAGACGGCGACCACTGACCACCAATGTCCTAACATTCCCTGACCCAGGGGAATGATGATGGGTAAAGCTAGCCATACACTTCTCAAATTTTGATCCAATGGGAGGTCCTGTCAGCAAAGTCGATTTTTCTTCTCAACTTTTGTCGAAGGAGCTGGTCTGAAAATTATCAGCTGAACAGGCCAGCATCCAATCAAATGGGCACAGTTTGGGTATTCAGCAGCCACTGGAGCAGTGACTGCTGTATACAGTGGCTGAGACCAGGGATTCTTCCATTCATGCTGTTTAACATGGATGGGGGAATCAATAGATTTCTCTCATTCAGCCCATGGGGCAGAACAAGAGAAATTCTAAGCATTTATGGCCAGCTTTATGCAGGGCAGCGGCCTCCATCCTGTAGAGCTTTGCCAAGTCCTGCTATGTAACTTCAGTTTATAGAGCAGACAGTCATGGTCAGTTGTAAGGAATGGACTTACAAGAAGAGAAAAAATAATAAGCTGAACTTTACAAGCAAAAGGCATCTCACAATAAATAACACTGCTCTCCCTTTGACGAATATATTTTCTTCAAAACAAGGTGTACAGTCAAACAGACATTTTATGTATAAATTATAAAACATGACACTGTATAAATAAATGTCTACCCGACTCAACTATATGTATACTTTTTTTCTTCTTCAAAATAAATAAGCATACACCTATGTACAGTATGGACATTAAAGGGTCAGCCCGCCCAAAACTGATATTTCCATTTTGAGTAGACACCAGGGGGGTGGGGCTAAATCACCCTTCTTGGACTCCATTGGTGAGATCTCAATGCTTAATTTCCATGAACGCCAATCTGCTGTGGCCATGATGAAAGCTCTCCCTGTGCCTCAGGAAGGTTGTATAGCAGGGAACGGGAGACTGCAGAAGATCTCATGAATGGAATCCCCAAGAGGTAAAAAAAAAAAGACATTTGGTAATCCAGCCCACTGGAATCTACTCATAATGGAAATATCAGTTTTGGACAGAGAGCCCCTTTAATCCGTGCCCAGAAAGGCTGTTCCAACAGTTTTACCAGTGGACGGAAGATAGAGAGACGCTGTTGTAGTCTGGATCCTCTTCTTCATCCTCTTCCTCCGGTTCTTCATTAATGGCTATATAGGGGAATATAGGGGAGCTGTTGTTTAAAAAAGGACAACAACAGCGCAGAAGCTCAGTGCATGATTTTTGTTTTTTTTTAGTTTTTTTTGTTTTTGTTCTGAACAGCCAGAATACAGCGTTGCATTGTATGTGACTTGTAGTGATAATGCCTCTTGGCATCTCTATAAAGTAATACTTGTTCATTTCTGTTTGTGTTTTTTTATTTTTTGTTATTTTTTAAAATTAATCTATGAAGTCTTAACTGCAGCAAGTTCTGAAGGACCTCAATGGATCGGGCTTTTATTGCAGGTTCCTGTAAATCAGACAAAAAGCGCTCTGGTGTTCTAGGTGTACTGCTTGTGTCTTCAAAGAGTTAGTAGTAGGGGTGCCCACTGCGTAAAGTGACGCATGGAGCGACTTTCTCTACCCGAGTTTTGGAGTTAGGTCACTCAAAAGCGTTAATGAAGCAAATCAGCGAAGCACATAGAAGCAAAATTAGAAAAATAGAAGTAAAGATATTCTCAGGCAACCCCTTATAAATAATAACATTTTTGTTTTTATGTTTTTTTGTTTGTTTTTTTTTGCTTTCCTGCATAAGAGGCAATCATAGTCTGGCAAGGCCCCTTCACTGGTAGAAATGGAGCAGGTTAAATAGCTAGCATTGGTGCTGGTGTCTAATTCTGTCTAGTCCTCATTGGGTAGGGGTTGCCTTTAGAAATCTTAAGTTTTTTCTTTTGCAGCTAAGTCACTTACAGTTGCAAGATCCGCTGTGTTTGACTTCCAAAAGTATCCCCAAGGAACAGGCTGCCTGTTTCATGGCACACTCGCTTGGGTAGGTGGTGTTATCACTGGCGCAAACCGCTTCATCAGACCTGCTGTTTGGACAGACGTCGTCACAAGCGGCGCAGCGTCCTCTGCCCACTCTACTGTCCCATAGGCATTTCTTGCCCACGCTGCAATGGATGTCTTCACATGACTTGGCTTCTGCAAAGAATAATGAAGCAGATGTTAGAATAATCTACCAGGATGAAGGCAATTGCAGACCTGTGTGAACTGCTGCATGGTTCTACGTAGTGCCCCTGGCAGAGCTGGATTCAGTTCCCACCTGGGGCTTTATCTGCATGAACATTCCTCTACATTTTCTGCTTTCCTTTTGCAGACATGAAGATCCCTCAAATGCCAGTAAGTGGAATTGTTTCCCTGCTACAGGACTGTGCTTTGCTTCAATCACACTTTGCCTTTATTGGGTAACAAACTTCACTTCCTGCCGTTGTGCTGTTCATTTTAATCTTCTTACGACACAATGTAACACAATCTGTTTATCAACAACACCCATTTTTTTTACATTGCAAAATAATAACTTCCAGGAAATTGAGTGTTGTTGTTACATTTGATCTCAATGCTTTGTATCAATTTCTTCATATCAAAAACCCAGTGACCTTTCTGAATATAAATCTAACTGCATATTACTGTAGAAGGGAATCAATAGAAAGTGTCTGAGACAAGTTCTATCTCAGCTGATGCAGATGGATTCATTTTTTTCCACACAGCTTTGAGAATGAAAATGTAAATACAAAGTCAATGAGATAAACTCATTGGAAAACTTGATCAGCCATTTACAGGCAGTGCTGTGTGGGCGGCAGGTACACCCTGTATTCAGTTCTTTCTCATGTATGTGTATTGGGCCTGAAAGTGCCCGCTGGCTTCTACATTCTTCACTCACTTGATGATCCTGTGTAAGTCAAGGCTGTTATACACGCACCCCCCCC